GTGGGTCTAGTAAAGACCCGCCAAATTGACTGCAGATTGCTCTCCAGTCGACCCCTGTATTCTACCACCGACGAGAAGAGTAAGGTAAGTCGATGGGAGATTTTCTCCCTTCGACGCTCCGCAGTGTACACCCCACAGTAGCTCAACCTAAGGTACGTCGACTCCAGCTATGTTATTCACGTAGCTGGAGTTGCGTAGCGTAGGTTGACTTACCGCGGTACTGAAGACATATCCTTAGATCTGAATAAAGGACTGCTGCTAGAAATACAGTCAAACTGTGGTGCCTTCTTTCCCAGACTCAGGCTATGTCTACTTACCATGGTAAGTCAACCTATGCTACGCATCTCCAGCTAGGTGAGTAATGACAAAAGATTTGCCAACGAAGTGTCAGTGTAGACAAACCCTAATTAATAGATAACAGCACAGAGAGACCTGATCACTGGTTTGGCAGTTGATCAATTACACATGAGACTTAGGGTTTGTCTACATTGGCGCTTCATTGGCAAAACTTTTGTCATTCAGGGGTGTTAAAAAAAACACACATACCCCGAATGACAAAAGTTTTACGTATGAAAAGCACCAGTGTGAACAGCGCTTTGCTCCTGCTGACAAAGCCGCTGCCACTCGTGGGGAGAGTGGGGGTGTGGGTGGAAGTTTTTTGTCAGCAGGAGAGCTCTCTCCTGCTAACAAACAGCACCTATGCTGCATGCCTTTTAGTGGCATGGCGGCACAGCTGTGTCACTAAAAGCCTCGTAGTGTAACCATAGCCTAAAGCAAGCGTGTGTTGTAATTACATTGATGACAGCATGGAGAAAGGAAGGAAACGTTAGGGGTCTGATCCTGCAATATGCTAAGAGCTATACCTTTATTGCTATCAATGTGGAGACAGGTGGAGAGCATCTTGCACATGGTCCTCAAAATGTATAGGGGTGAAGCGATGGAAATCAAAAGAGGAGAGAGGGTAGAGATGGAAGAAGCGGGGATAAAAAAGAGAGAGGTGACAGGAAGAGAAGGAAAGTATATAATGCGAGAACCAACAGTTCTTATCATTCCAGAGGTTCCACTTCTGGCATTACAGATGGGACCAGATTTCCAAAAGAGCTTAGTTCCCATTTAGGGACCTAAATACTATGTAGGTAAGATTTTCAAAGGTGCTATGGACCCAATGGGCTGAGCTCCTTTGCAAATCTGGTCCTTAACACTTCTGTTATCAAGTCACTTAAACTCTTCCCCTTAGCTTTCCCATCTACACCTAAAACTTAGGTCAACCTAGCTACACTGCTCAGGGCTGTGAAAAATGTCATGCCAGGTGCAACGTAGTTAGGTTAACCTAACCCTCGCTGTAGGCCAGCTAGGGCAATAGGCAAGTTCTTCCGTAGACCTAGCTACTGCCTTTCAAAGGGGTGGATTACAAATTTTTATTAACGCTAATGTTAAAAAAATTATATAATACATAGGTTGAAAAAAGAGTGTCTGTACATTTGGGTATAGTGCTTAGATGATCCACGAATACAAAGTTTGTTTTTAAAGTCATATGATACACAGAATACATATTCAGCAATAACCCAAATTTAGGTGATACTACGGCAACTGAAAACCCCTCCTGTGGCTGTAGTAAGTGTCTATGCAACAGCAGGGCCGCAGCTCCCCAAATAACCCACTGGGGGTGGTGGGGGAAGATGCTTCTGATCTCCAACTTTTCGTGAGAAGACTTTATAAGCCCCCCCCAAAAAACTTGAGCTTATGTTACACCAAAATAAAGCCTCTCCCTCCACGCTAGGTTTCCAGAGTGGGTGGGTTTTTGGTAGGGTGACCAGACGTCCCGATTTTATCGGGACCGTCCCGATATTTCCTTGTTTGTCCCGTTGTCCCCACCGCATGTCCGATCGGAAGCGGGACAAACCAGGAAATATCGGGACGGTCCCGATAAAATCGGG